CAGTCTTTTTCCACTAGGGGATATTTATTAGCTTTAGGAGAGTAATTCATCCAAGAGAGATGCAGTGAACTGTGTTGTTTTTTCACCTTTGTTGACCATGGCATCAGATTCCACAATAGGCACAAGTGGAAAAAAAAGTCTGTCCTGCATCACTCTATCTTGTTCATTTCTAACAAAAAAAATGGGTCATCATAATTGGCAGATAAAGATGAAATATGGCCTACTTAGCCCTAATTCAGATGCACATTTCTCCTACAACTTCATCAACAGTAGCCAGTATGTGAGGAGTTGACCCCAAACTGAGCAAAGCTGTAATATCCCTTGAGTAACCTGAACTTTCTTGTTTGAGTTGTTATCTGCCATAAAAAAGAAATCATTATAGGTGAAGTAAAATGTTGCATGAGTACAAAACCCCACAGCAGGACAGAAAAGGAGCAGATAGGCACAATGAAGTGAAGTAAAGCTGAAAGCAAAGGAAGAGACAAAAGAGAGCCGGCAAAGGAAAAAGGCAGCTGGGATATGAGGTTAAGACAGATAAAAAGGAATAAAAGAGAGACAGAGAGAAAGCATATTACTGAAGAAAAAAGAACAAGCGAAAGAAAAATGACAGAAAGAAGTAAAGGTAATGATAGGGAATATTAAAGGAAGAGAGAGTGCCTGCGAGGGGGAGAGAGTCTGGATTTGCTTGTCAGTTAGTGTCTCTCCTTTTCAGTTTCATTATCTGCTAGAATAACAGGTGTTTTCTGCCGAGGGGCAAAGGGGCATTATTATGACCCATGTATCCACTGATAAGAGATATTAAATTGAACTAAAGACAAACACAGTCTCTTCAGCATGATGTGACCTCGAGGAGAAAATGAAATCAGAAAGTCCACAGCAGTTCCTCACCATAATATCTGAAAGCAGGCAATAATTTGAGAGAAGAATGACAGAGCATGCTCGTTTCTGCTTCGGCAGCCATCACGGGCGTTTTACAACCAAACGTTGCCTCACCGGTTTTGCAGGTGAGAAACTGTCAACAGCGCTCTTTGCCGGATAGTTGGAAGAAAACCAATATGTTGTTAAAAAAAAAAAAAAAAAAAAAAAACACGCAAATGGGCTCAGCAAAGTGATGATTAAAATGCATGTGACACAAGATTTTGATATTCGCCTGCCTTACAAAGTAGCAGAAAGAAAATCATAGGGATTCTTAGCCAGTTGTGCCAGCTGTGAGCTTCGTGCTGTAAATGAATCAGTTATATCTTCATCTACAGCTAAAGGACTCTGTGATGTCACATGTCAACATATAGAAAACTACAGATTACTTAATCTGCATCCTTCTCCTATTTCCTACCCCTCCCCCAGAAATGGTGTAACATTTCATTCAGAAATCATTCATGTAATTTAAGTAAATAAATAAGATGTCCTCACATTTGATAATAATGATACTCAGAGGAGTTCATTGTTGACTCAATCACTATAAGGATCCCAGGTCCTTTGGCTACAAAACATGTTCAGATAATCAGCCCTCCACCAGCCTGCGTGACACTTGGCACATGCTGTTTATGCTGATATGAATTTTTTGGTCTCTAAGTGTGGGACTGTGCATTACACCCAAACATTTCCACTATATGGTCTCATTTGTCCAAAAGACATTGCTCCACAAGTCTTGTGGTTTGTTCAGATGCAAATTTGCCATCTTCTTTTAGAGCGAAGAGGCTTCTTGGCAACAGTCCCAAAAACACCATACTTGTTCAGTCTTTTCCTAATTTTACTGTCATGAACTTTAACATTTAACACGCTAACTGAGGCCTTTAGAGAGTGAAATGTAGCTCTTGGGTTTTTTACTGTTTCTCTGAGCATTGCTCAGAGAAAAGTCTGCCCTTGGTGTGAATGTGCTGGGGCATCCACTCCTGAGAAGATTAGCGACTGTTTTGAATGTTTTCCATTTGCGAATAATCTTTCCTACTATAAAATGATGAACTTCAAATGTGTGGACATGGTCTTATAACCCTCCCCAGACTACTGGAGAGTAACAATCGCTTCTCTAAGATCTGTCTTTCCTCCTAAACACATTCAAACAAGCAATATAGTTAATCTGTGATCGTATTAACCCAACTTCAAGATCTGTGAAGGACTGGGTTATTATTATTTTTGAGTGATGTTTTGATGTGTAAAATCTCAGAATAGCAGGGACATCGGTCGGGAGCTGCATGTGAAATCTGTCTTACTTAAGTCATTCTCTTAAGTATTGAAAATTGGTTGCCATCATGCCAAGAGCTAAATAACCCTCTGGGACAAGTAAGAGATTTCAAAAGATATTTTTCTACAATAAAAAAAAAGATCTAAAAGAGCTCTCAATTTTAAGCAAATGCCAATTTGCCAAAGAATGGCTGTCCCAGGAAATTAACTCAAAGAGCTTCCTGTCAGATGCAACATAATTCTCCAAGAAACCCAAATCTTTAGGTCAGTTGTGCAGCTGTAGCCATTAAACTACTGGGGAATGCAGTTAGTTTGCTAATGAACAAAAGCATGGTTTTTGGAATAATGTGCTCTAAACAGTGTGTTTAGCCACACTAACAATAGAAAAGTGTGTTGCAAGCCAAATATAGCTTACACCAACTGTTAAGCATGGTGGTGGAAATTTTATGTTTCGGGGTTGCATTACTGCCTCGGGGACTGGGCAGCTTGCTGTCATTGGCTCAATAATGAATTTTTCATTGTATCAAAAAGTGTGTGAAGATAATGTGAGGCCATCTGTCCAAGAGCTGATGCTGAGCTGGAAGGAGACCTTTTCAGCAGAATAATGATCCTACAAGCGCTGGCACATTTACCAAGCATGCTTCAAAAAGAAGAAATTGAGGGTTACAAAATGGACTGGTCGAAGTCTAGATTAAAAATCTTATTAAATATTGTATATGAAACAAGAAGTACAAGGAAACCAAGAGATGAAATGATGAGGGTACTCAGAAGAATACATCTGTTCATATTTCTGTTGTATAAATTATAGATGGGGCTAATTTTCTTTGTATGTCGTTTTAAACTGTAGTCACTGAATGGAGTGTTTGCTCATTTAAAAATGTTTCATGAATTTTCTTACAATGCAGGTGGAGCTTCTCAATCTTTACAATATGTACAATGCAAAGGAAGCCATTGCATTAAACGTTTCTTCAAAATCCAGAAAAAAACTGATTTATTTGCCATCACTGGAAATCCTGAGATTGGCAGTCAACTTTGAAATACACTTTAAAGAATGCAATCCCTGCCTTCTTTACAACCTGAGCTAAGAGTGCCGGGTTGGTGACATGCTGAGTTTCTAATGACTGACAGAAAAGTTGTCAGTGTAGCGTCAGCTGTTAAATATTCAGCGTCCATCAATCACTTGTTTCATTATAGCCGCGCACCTCAACTGCTCATGAGAAAGTGGCTGCATTGTCATCTTTATCTAGTTCACCACTGACCCACATTTTGTTACTACCTACAAATAGTCAAGCTGAAAAAAATATCAGGGAATTCTAAGCAGTAAAAGTGTTTCAGAGGGGGAAGTGTAGGGTCAAAAAAAAAGTTTAAACAGGAAAAAAAAAAAAGCTAAACGAGAAAGGAAGGGAAATAGTAGTAAATATTGGAAAGACTGATGTCCAAGAACGAGGCGGATTGGTTAGATGGATGCACTGTGAAAGAGAAATCTGATCAAACATTCAGTGGGTGTAGGCTTGTAAAAGAAATCCTTTCCAATGAAGAATGCACTGAGCCAGGAATTTATTCATAGATGCATTTATAATGCATGCCCACAGAATGAATGACTTCCCGTAGCACATGTGTGCACGTGCGTGTGACTTACACATACATGTTTGTGCAAAACTGCGAGTGTGTACATTGCATGTGCAGCGTGTCAGGGAGACAGAACAACTGCTGATTGATGAGACAACGTTTGTTTTAACGAGCCTCTGGAGTGGCTTCACCTTGAGAAAGATTTGGTTGCTCACTTTACAGTGCTTCTACTGCCGTCTGGAGATATCTGAGGCATACACCATCAGTCTATTGCTCGCATTCGTGTGTGTATGTGTGCTTGTTTTGTGTGTTTACCTTTCTGTGTTTTGCTTGTGCATTTTTTTTGTACAGCAAGTGTGAGATTTGGTGCCCCTGTCTACGAGAACAGCAGAGGGAAAGCTAAGTGATAGGGTGTGGGTGTAACTGGGTGCTATAAATTAACGTTGAAGCATTATTTCAATTACCCTGACCTACTTAACCACTAAACCAATAAATCTACATGTCTAAGAAACCTTAACAGCCAAAAAACAACCAAAAAAACAGAAATGTTTTATCATATCTTGCTATACATCTCATAAAGACATGAGAACTGATGTAAATGTTTCAAATTTTCAAAATCATTCATATCTACCTTTGAATGGCAGCATGATAAAGACACTGGGATACGGGTTAATCCACCACCTTGCTGTACTTTCTTAAAGCAGGACCACACCTGCTAAATCAATGAAGCATGTAAATGTCAGACTATTAATGCTTCATTAAACTAAAGCACGGGTCATTGACAACAGTGCAGATTTGCTTCAGGGGTCCCTGACATTTTAACATTTTTAAATTTTACATATAACGCCACATGTAAACACAATATGACAGCACAGCAAGCTTTTGAATGTGATTTGTTTTGCCATCTTTAATGAAAAACACAGCTTTTTTGTTGCGTAGTTATTAAATTTGACATCTTTTCGCTGCCCTTATAGCATGGATAGTGCAGGTAAACTTAAAGGAGAGAGAACAGCAGTTATTTCCTCTTATATAGTAAAAAAAAAAGAAAAAAAAAAGAAATAAATCAAACTGTCAGGTTAAATTATTTATAATTGTTCAGATTTCCTTAAGAAACCCTGGGACTACCTTGGAGAATTCCCATTTGGGAGCACAAAGAAGCGCCATTTCCACGCTTGGCCTCTAGGGGTCACCATAACAAACACGAGCCGCTGATCATTCCCCTCTCTGCACGCATCCTTCCCTCTCGTTGACTGTGTACTCCATCAATGGCGGAAGCGGCTTAAGTCTGTGAGTGTATAAAGGATTTCTTTCAAAGTAAAGCACTGATAGCTTCACAGTGTGAAGTCAGAGTGTTTATGTGTCGCTTTTGTTGAAGTCGGACTGTTGTGTCTGTGACGGGAGGACTTCTCTTCGTCACGTGTTGCACGTGAAGTGGGAGAAATGCTTGTGAAAATGAATGAACGATCTTTAGGTCGAGCACTTAAGAGAAGGGCTGTGTTAATATGTGACAAGAGCTAATTTTCTTTGTCGGTTAGTATTAAAGAAGCAACGAGACGATGCAATGTACTTTCATTCAGTCCAGAGTGTGTATGGAGTATTAAAGAGAGAGAGAAATGAGGGAGAAAGACAGGAAAACTTCCCACTATTAAACAACAAATCTATTTTAGAAAGAGAAAATAAAAAACTGCCTGCACTATATCTTTGAGAGTCCACCGTGAGGGGAGGGTCTGATCGTTATCGAGGGCTAGCTGTTAAAGGTTCAGCTGAGTTCAGAGTACTATAATGATCATTAAACCCTGCTGCACTTTTTTTTCGTAGTTTGCTCTGCTTCGGTTGCTAAAGCTGGAAGGTGAGCAGATTCAGGTGAAGTATGTATTTGTTTTAGTGCTGTCATCAGCTGGTTCGTGAGGTTTTAGGAGTATTTAGCCTTTTTGGGCTTTTATATGCCCTGGTTATCTACAGGGTTGTTACTTTCTTTTTTCATATAAGGTACGGTTTACAGAGTCACAGCTTTTAATTTTCCTTTAATGAATCTGTCATATATTATGACCTTCAAACATTCCAGCCTGCCCAAAAGATATTCAGTTTGCTGTCACATCAGATATGCAAGAGCCACACATTTGAGAAAAAAGGTTGGGTGTTAAGATTTCTGTTAACAGATTAGTCAATCAATAACTACCTGGGCTCCATTTTTAACTTTAGTTCCTCTTTAGTACAGATGGTGTTATATTTTTCACAGGTATTGTGCTTGATTAATTGATTAAATTAATCAGAAAGTGAATTAAAAAAAAATTCACATCAGTTTGTCATTGTTGTTAAACCAGAAGATTATTGACATAAACAAGAAGACTGAGGCAAATTTGCTGAAATGCAGCCAAGTCCACATGACCCATCAGTCAAAGAAGACAGATATATTAGCAAAGAAAAATAATTATTAGTTGCAACCCTGTTGTGTCGGTATTGTGTGTTGAAACATGCGTGTAAACCTTGAAGTTGCATAGCTTCCATGTGGATGTTTGTATTTTTAATCAGTTTGCTTGTTTTAGGGAGAATTAATAGTTCAGTACAAGCCTGGTCAGAGGTAGACATTTAAATGACTTTCTTTCTTTGTCGGCTTACAAGCAAAGAATAAAAGTAGAAAACAGACGGACAAAAGGAAGAATAGAAGCAACATATGCCCTGTTCTCCTCAAGTCCAAGTGAGTCGACTGATTGAAGACAGGCTGCTGTGGATCCTAGCCATGGATGAAAAGATGACACCTTTGGACTGCCTGCTGCCCTCAGGTACTGCCTTTCAAACTCACATTCCCTCACCAGAAAAACACATGCACACAATCAATCAAATCTGAAGGTTCATGCACAGATGCATACGTCTTCTTTTTTTCCAGTTGTTGTTGTTTTGTCATACACAAACTATACTCTTGTGTGGGGCACCCACCCACACACAGACGATCGCAATGCATCTGATCAAAATTCACGCTTACTCGCATCACTGTCACACTTGTCTTCCTCCCTCTGCTTCTCCCACTCACTCCGACACACCGTCTTTGGGGAATTAGAACTCAAAAACAAATCACTTGCACTTTCATGACAACAGTGTACATATGTATGAGACATGCCTTCCCTTCTCTTTTGCTGAAAGGGGTTTTTGATGTTTTTGCTTTAAAGGGGTGGTTTAATTAAGTTTGATCTTTCTAAAATCGAATAATCTTTCTTGCGTCTGAATCAAATGCCTGACATCACATAAATTCTCCTTGTTCCAACAAAACATTTTAGATCCATATTAAATATGTCTAAGTTCAGTACATAGCACATTTATTATCTCATTTCCAAAGGCATGCTAACACGTTACAATAGAATCCATTACCCTAATGATAATCTGACACATTCTGTACCCAGTGATGCTCCTAAAAAAGAAACTCTCCAGATGGCTGGCTGCCCTACAGACCTGAGAAGGAAGCTGGTTATATCTGCCTTTAGCCACTGCTCTCAGGTCAAGGTTTATGTGAGCTCTCTGGTGGTATGAGCTTCGAGGAAGGAAAGCTGATGTGAGCCGAAGGGCAGGTTATTACCAGACCTGTAAAGGTCAACGGGATCGTACAACAATTTGGCCTGTAGAACAGACAGCAGACACTTGTACTTTCCTCAGGCTCGAGTTACATTTATTAGTTCCATGTAATTCCTGACAACTGTACTCATTTTATTAGCTAAAATCTAATGCAGTCAGCTGCAACAGCTCTACCGTGAATTCCACTGTTAATACCGTGCTTTGACCTAACCAGGAACACAAAGTAGAATAATCCACCTTACTGACCACATGAACAGAAATGGAAAAGAAGCTTTGCAAAAGTTCGGTACTGTGCAAAGGTCTCGAGGGTTCCCCTCATTTCTTCATGTTTTGCATCCAAGGAGCCAACCATTTTTTTTGTTACCTACCTAAAGAATGAATCAGTGTTGTGTCTACACATAACACACACATTTGTTTCCATTTGTTTAGTTCAGTCCATGAAAAATGCCAAAGATAACTCAGTTTGACAGACATAAAATAATATTTTTACCTTAACAAGGTGAATTCCAAAAAGCTATGGAACATAAACCTGGCATATTACAGCATGGTGTGCGGTTTGCTCTTAAAAAGTTTAAGGAAACTGAACAACTGAAAGCCAGAATTAAGAATTGTCATGGCTCTGTCATGGTTTGAGCTGCCTTTCAGTCAGTAGTGTTGAAGATCTTGTCGAAACTGATGGAAATAGGGATGTACAGTCAGATAACATACAATACCCAATGGAAAATATGTTATGAAGAAGCCGGGACCTCAAAATTATTGGAGCAGTGTGGGATCACCTTGACAGAGCAGAATAAAAGCCTTTTGAAACAACCTTCAAGAAGCCTGGAGAAAGATTCACGAAGACTACTTAAAGAAGAAAGCTTGCCTAAGAGAGTTCAGGCTTTTTTGAAGAATAAAAGTCAACATGCCAAATATCAACTTTCAAGTTAGTTTGAGTTGTATTCACCTTATACTGTGCTTCAATAAATGTTTGCTGCATCTGTTTCAGTGAACCACCGATTACTTTATAAAGCAACGTATAACATAATGGAGTAGAAGAGTATATTTCAGGTCATTGGTGGTGAGTTAATACATTTTATGAAAATTTGACCCAGGTTAGAAATATTATTCTTCAACTAAAAGATATGATAAAATGTTAAATCCACGGTATGCTGAGCACTGTCTGAGGTCTGGCTTTTCTCATGCTTTCTAGATTCCTTGGCATCTAACTATCACAGGTACACACTGTGTGTAGTTTTACTAAAAAGATATAGATGAATCTGAGGTCTGAGTCCTAGAAAAATTGTCCTTTTAATCAGTCTTGGTGCTCTGTGGCATTCGTTGCATTCTTGGAGTCATTTCTTGAAGTGTTGTCATTTTTTTATAACCACCCTACTTCAACCTGCTACTGTTTGGATAGCTATACTGCTGATCTCTCTTCTTGTGTATGCCTCACAGTTCCTAGAGTGGAATGTTACTGGGTTTATTTTGTATGAACGTGAAATTCTTAGCAACAAAGTAAGAAACAGAAGGAAATGAAGGTTTAACTGAAAATGGGAACATTTTGGGAACAGTTTGCTATAAATAGGCTGATATTAATTGAATAAAGCAACAACAACAACAACAACAAAAAACTTGTTTGCTTGCCTCTGTTCATCAGTTACTGTGTTGGCTCTAGGCTGAGCATTTATTAATGCTAATGTTACGATTAAGCTGCATGCTTATAGTTTGTCTCTCAGTTATATTGAGAGTGAGCTAAATATAGGGATTTAAATCAGATCATAAAATATAATCACAATCTCAAGCTTGTACTCAATTGAGCTAAAGTAATTAGTAAATTAACTTTAATTGACTTGAGTATGACTGAAAACAACAATTATGATATTTACAGAAGTTGTTTTAAAAGTGTCTTATGATAAAGAGCTGTGCACTCACAAGCCACTTCATTAGGTACACCTCACTAGTACCAGATTGGACCCCCTTTTGGATTCAGAAATGCTTTAATTTTTCAGATTTCTCATCCTTGATGTCAATCTCC